TGGGAAAAAAATGGCCTGAAGAATCCAACCTTGACCAAAATGTAGACACCCAAATCTGACTGGGGAAAAAATTGGATTTAGTAGAAATAATGGCCACAAAATGAAAGGCAGATGTTATAATTGGGAAAATTTGACACGGATGAAAACCTGAATCAGATTTCCTTGTAACATTTAAACAGCAAAAGAATTAATGCTGATGAAAATAAGTCCCATAAACTATAATAAAAGTGGTAAAACTGGAAACGAATTGTGCTTAGGGAATCAATGAATTTTATTACTTAATGACATTTGTTCTGGGAACCTTCATGCACAGTTGGTGGGAACATAAATTGGTGCAGCCACTATGGAAAACAATGTGAGGTCCCTCAAAAAATGAAAAATAGAAATACCATATGATCCTGTAATTTTACTTCTCAATATTCACCTGAAGAAAACAAAAAAACTAATTCAGAAAGACACATGCACCCCTATGTTTATTGCAGCATTATTTATAATAGCCAAGATAGGAAACAAGCCCTATGAATGAATAAAGATGTCATGTAAACATATATGCAATGGAATATTACTCAGACATAAAAAAAGAGAAGAAATCTCGCCCTTTGTGACAACCTGGATGAACCTAGAGGATATTATGCTGAGTGAAATAAGTGAGACAGAGAAAGACAAATACCATATGATTACACTTATATGTGGAATTTAAAAAACAAAACAAGTGAACAAACAAAAAATCAGAAACAGAATCATAAATAGAGAGACCAAACTGGTAGTTGCCAGCAAAGGAAGAGGTTGGAGAGTAGGTTGAGGAGATTAAGGAGATTAAGAGGCACACGTTTATAAAATAAGTCACAAGAATGAAAAGTACAGCATAGGGAATATAGTCAATAATATTGTAATAACATTGTATGGTGGCCAATAATAACTACACTTACTGTGGTGAGCACAGCATAATGTATCTAATTGTCAATCACTATGTCGTACATGTGAAATGAATATGATATTGTATGCCAACTATACTTCAGTAAAGAAAACACTTATTCTAGGAGCACCTGGGTGGCTCTGTCTAAGCCTCAGACCCTTGATTTTGGCTCAGGTCATGATCTTGCGGTTGTGAGATCAAGTCCCAAATTGATCTCCAAGCTGGGCATGGAGCCTGCTTAAGATTCTCTTTCCCCAACTCACTCTGCCCCTCCCCTGCTTGGTCATTCTCTCTCTCTTTCAAAAACAAACAAAACACTTATTGTAGAAATTAGTTTCTTGATAGAAATCTATCAATGTTGGCATAATTTTGATTAAAACATTTATGGCCAAACTTCCATTGGGGTAGCATTACAGCCAAAAATTATCATAACTCCACAGAGGCTGCCTCCTGAAGAGGCAGCTGGGTGGAAGCTAAATCACAACTCCAGGGTAAAGACCTGGGAATCTGTATTTCTAAAACAATATGTCCCGTTTTGAATCTTAATTTAAACAATTTAAAAATGTTTTTGGAGCAGCTCACCTGGGTGGCTCAGTTGGTTAAGCGTCTGACTTCGGCTCAGGTCATGATCTTGCAGTCTGTGAGTTCAAGCCCTGCGTCGGGATCTGTGCTGATAGCTCAGGGCCTGGAGCCGGCTTTGGATTCTGTGTCTCCCTCTCTCTCTGCCCCTCCCGCACTCATGCTCTGTCTCACTCTCTCTCTCAAAAAAAAAAAAAAAAAAAACAACTTAAAAAAAGATTAAAATGTTTTTGGGGGCAACTAGGAAAGTTTAAGCAAGGACAGGATATTAGATAATATTAAGCAATTATTACTATTTTTTAGGTATGTTACATGATGTTACAATCATGTTTTTGAGAAGTCCTATTATGGACTGAATTGTGTTCCCCCAAAATTTAAATGTTGAAGCCCTATCCCCCAAAGGGACTATATTTGGAGACAGGGCCTTTAAAGAAATAATTAAGATTAAATGAGATCATAAGGGTGGAGCTCTAATCCAGTAGGCCTGGTGTCCTTATAAGAAGAGGAAGAGATACCATGAGTGCATGGGCACAGAAAAAAGGCCATGTGGGGTTACAGAGAGAAGGTGGCCATCTGTAAGCCAAGGAGAGAGGCCTCAGGAGAAACCAAACCCGCTGACGCCTTGATCTTGGACTTACAGATTCCAGAACTGTTAGAAAATAAATTTCTGTTGTTTAAGTCACTGAATCTATGGTATTTTGTTATGGCAGGTCTAGCAAACTGAGACTAGTCTTTACATAGTAGAGATACCTACTGAATTATTTATATGTAGAACAATATGATGTCTGAGATTTGCTGTAAAATACTCTGGGGAAAAATGCTTCGGAAATAAAAATTTAGAGTAATAGATGAAACAAGACAGGCTAAGAATTGACAATTATTGGAGCTGGGTCACAGGTACACAGAGGTTCGTTACACTATTCTCTTCTATTGTAGAGCGCTTTTGAAAATATCCAAATAAGTTGAAAAAATTGACAGTGACAATTGTAAGGTGATTCTGATACATATCTAAAGTAGGTAATTACTGAGAAAGGGTTTTCCAAAATCTGGTGTTCTAACCCGGGCTGAAATAAATGTGTTATTAACATCTACTTATAAATAAGAATTTAACTGAATTCAATAAGGTGGTAGGGAAAGGAATCAAAATGCGGGAGCTGTGGGCAAGGGACAGCAGGCAGGGAAGAAGGAATCAGTATTTACCAAGCGCCTAATGTGTACAAGATGCTTTGTAAACATGATCTTTGGACGCTCACACAGGTCTACGAAGTAGACTTTTTAAAGTTTTAATTTTTTAAAAAAGTTTTAATATGAAGAAACGATGGCGCAGAGAATGTGAATGAATTCCCAAGACCCCACACTAGGAGACGGCTGAGCTGGGATTTTATTCCCACCTGACTGCCTCCAAAGCTTGCATTCTTTCCCCTACCCATCACCTCCTCTCTAGATATTACCAAATGCCAGGCCACAAAGGGCAGAGAAATTTTGAGGAGAATGGGATCATAGAGGGATGGGGCCAATAGGGACTGACAAAGGACCGTAAAGGGCTTGAGCTTGGATGGAAGTCCTGGAGGTACAGCAAAGGACAGGAGAGCATCTGAGAGGTGGGGAGGGATGGCAAGACGCAAATGCAGAAACTTGGTGGCAGATAGAGAATGAGACGCCACTGTGGGCTCTTGGCTCCTGGGGAGACGTGGTGAGGGCAGGATTGGGTTATGGGCAGTGAAATTGAAAGAAGAGGTGTCCCAGGACTTGGACCTGGATACAGTTGGTTAAAATAACAGATTTCAAATCTAGGTGGGAAAATGATGCCTCCATCAACAGATGAGGAAAGCCACGAGGAACTTCTTTCAGGTGGGGAGGGGAGAAAGAAAGAAATACAGGTTAAACGTGTAGAATTGGAGATGATAGTGGAACACCCTAATGGAGAAGCCCAGATGGCAGTTGGGTTGACAGAATTTTAGATTTGAAAAATCATCTGGTCTACCCCTTCATTCAAGAGTGTGAATCCAAGGGGCGCCTGGGTGGCACAGTCGGTTAAGCGTCCGACTTCAGCCAGGTCACGATCTCGCGGTCCGGGAGTTCGAGCCCCGCGTCAGGCTCTGGGCTGATGGCTCGGAGCCTGGAGCCTGTTTCTGATTCTGTGTCTCCCTCTCTCTCTGCCCCTCCCCCGTTCATGCTCTGTCTCTCTCTGTCCCAAAAATAAATAAACATTGAAAAAAAAAATTAAAAAAAAAAAAAGTATGAATCCAAGAAGTAACCAGTGAGTGAGTCCTCAAGTCTAGCTTACACTATGATATAAAATGTGATAGTCATTTTATTCTTGTCTGCTTACCATGTTCCAGGCACTGTTCTAGGCATTGGAGATGCCTAGCGGTAGATAGATTGCCTGAATTATTATAAAGGCCTTTTCATTGGTCTTCTTGCTTCCACCCTGGCATCTCCTTCATTTTCTCTCAGCCAGTAGCCATTATAGTTTCTTTGTTACACATATAGTCTATGTACATGGACTAAAAATGTAAACGGAACCCACTAGACTGTGCTGTGGAATGTATACCCCATAGGGCTATATGTGGCAGCCCCAGGAAAGGGATCCTGTTAAAAGACAGATCACATTACCCCTCTGCACAAAATGCTCTAGAAACTCTTCTCTACTCCCCAAACAGGTAAGCCATACACTAGCCTCAGAACCTTGGTTCTGGTGCTTCCTTCTACCTAGAGAAAGCTCTTCTGCCAGATATCCATCCAGATCTCCTTCGAGGCTTCACTCAAATGTCACCATTTCCTTGAGGCCTTCCTTGGCCACCTGTTTTAAATTGCAACTATTTCCATCTTCTTCCGCTACATTCCTATTCTCCTATACCTGGCTGTCACTCATGCTCATGCTCATGCTTTTTTTTTTTTTTTTTTTGCCTACTTGTTTTTTTCTAACACACTATTTATGTTAACTTTAAGTTGTCTGTCCACCTTCATTGGAATAGAAGCTAGACAGTGGCAGGGCCTTTTGTCCCATTTGTTCACTGTTCAAATCCCAAGAATTCATAACAGCGCCTGGCACATAGGAAGTGCTCAACGAATGAATGAATTCATCGTTTCATGACTGAAGTACGCATGACAACATAACTGATTGAATGAAGACATAGGCTGAGTGCTGAGGGATGACAATGCGGTGCCAATTCAAGCTACCTGAGAATGTCAGTGTAAGTTTCACAGAAGAGGTGACACTTGATCTGGGACTTGAAAGAGAGGGAGGTGGGTCGAGGCAGGTGTGGTAGGCAGAATAATGGCCCCCAAAGATAACCAGGTCCTTTTTCCTGGAGTCTGCGAACATTACCTTTAGATGACAGAAGAGACCTGCAGGTGTGATTAAGTATCTCGAGGTGGGAGAGGTTGTCCGATATTATCCCGGTGGACCCCCAAATGCAATCACAAATACCCTTATAAGAGGGCGACAAAGATAGGTGTAACAGCAGCAGAAGTGAAGGTGACAATGAAGCAAGATACTTACTTTGCTGCTGGCTTTGAAGGCGAAGGAAGGAACTTGGAGCCAAGGAATGCGAAGAATGTAGTTCTAGAGGCTGGAAAAGACAGTTGGATTCTTCCCCAGAGCTTTCAGGGAGCATGGCTCTGCTGACACCTTCATTTTGACTTGGGTGAACTGAAGTTTGGACTTTGGACCTCCAGGACTGTGAGGAAATAAATGTGTGTTGTTTTAAGGCACATGGTTTGTGGTAATTTGTTACAGCAGCCATAGGAAGCTAATACAGCAGGTAAGGGGATCCTAGAAAGAGCAAGTCGTATGTACAAATCATGAAAGTGGCAGCACATTGAAGAATCCCCTGAGAAGTCGAATGGATCTGTGTTCAGCAATAGGGAATGGAGAAAGATGGGGCTGGGCAGGTAGCGGGGGCTAGATTGCGAAGGGCCTTGCACGTCAGGTCAAGGAGTTGAGTGTGTTCCACTGGCATACACTGTGCTGTGTTGCCCAGATCCCCTTTCAGGACCGGTGGGCTTAAGCTTCATGGAGTGCCGCTAGCAGATGGCCCCGTGTCTCAGTTCTCTTGCACTCTTTTCTGAAGGCAGCCGCCTTGCCTGAACTCGCACAGCTTCCTGGAGCAGCCTACATCTGATGACTGGTCTACATAGGAGTAGAAAGAGGCTGCCCATCTTACCCCACTTCAGGAGAACTCTGAAGGGCCGTCCCAGTATCGAAAGTCCCCCTTGGGATTAGTTGCAGCTCTGCTGTGATGACTTCTCCGTGTGCCCAGTCCTGTCTCCTTTCCTCCTGGCCACAGGTGTTCATGTCAAGAGCTCTGCTGAGTAAGCATCAGACCTGCTGGTCTCTGTCTCGTCCTGCTTCTCTGGGAACTCAGCCTGCCAATGTGAGCTAACAAGTCTTTAAGCAAGAGAGTGAAAAGTAAGACTGCCATGGGTGGTGGTGGTGATAACTCAGATCAGTGTGAGGATGGGCTAGGTTGTGGAGAGATTGGAGGACGGATCAGTTAGGAAAATGGGGCAAAACTACAAGTGAGAGAAAATAAAGTCCCCTAGACAAGGGTAGAGGCAAAAGGAACTCTATGTGTGGTCACCAGCTTTTCCATAAACAACCTCATGGAGAGAAGGTCATCATTCTCAGCGAAGCCTGGTTCACTGCATGGACTAAAAAGAAGTCCTTCCTCATGATGGCCCAATCATTGCATTTTGTCCATCATTTCTAGTCTGGTTTTGTAGAGCAATCAACTTCCTTCCTTTTTTCTTTCTTTCTTTCTTTCTTTCTTTCTTTCTTTCTTTCTTTCTTTCTCTTTTTTTTTTAATGTTTATTTATTTTTGAGAGACAGAGTGCAAGTGTGGGAGGGGCAGGAGAGAGAGGGAGACACAGAATCCGAAGCAGGCTCCAGGCTCTGAGCTGTCAGCACAGAGCCCAACGCGGGGCTCAAACTCATGAACCACAAGATCACGACCTGAGCCGAGGTTGGCGCTTGACTGACTGAGCCACCACCCAGGTGCCCCTAGAACAGTCAACTTTCTTACCAAAAATATGTTCTCTGTTTCTCTGGTGAAAAATCCACTTAGGGAAATAGCAGATTTGACCAACCATTCTTCTTAGAACAAGAAGCCTACCAAATGGTGAAGCCTCCACTAGGAAGTGTTCTTTCAACTTTTTCTTGAATACCTCCAGTATCAGGGAGCTCATCTTTTGGCAAGGCAATGTATTCTCACTCTTAGCAGAATCCTTATATCAAATCTGACACTGTCCATAGCTTTTCACTTTGTTAGTTCTAAGTGAGGCATGATTATCAGCATGGAACTAAGTTTAGTAGCCCTGGTTTTAGAGTCAGACAGAACTGGGCTTAAATCCAGAGTGTGTTCCCAACAGTGTCCTCAGTCCACTTATCTCACCTAGTTTGCTCAATGTAAAATGGGGATAAAAATAGAATATACTTACTGAGGTTGTTGTTTATTATTTTTTTTTATTTTTTTAATTCTTTTTTTTTTTTAATTTTTTTTTTCAACGTTTTATTTATTTTTGGGACAGAGAGAGACAGAGCATGAATGGGGGAGGGGCAGAGAGAGAGGGAGACACAGAATCGGAAACAGGCTCCAGGCTCTGAGCCATCAGCCCAGAGCCTGACGCGGGGCTCGAACTCACGGACCGCGAGATCGTGACCTGGCTGAAGTCGGACGCTCAACCGACTGCGCCACCCAGGCGCCCCTTAAATTCTTTTTTTAACGTTTATTTATTTTTGAGACAGAGAGAGACAGAGCATGAATGGGGGAGGGTCAGAGAGAGGGAGACACAGAATCTGAAACAGGCTCCAGGCTCTGAACTGTCAGCACAGAGCCCGACGTGGGGCTGGAACCCATGGACCGCGAGATCATGACCTGAGCCGAAGTCGGCCGCTTAACCGACTGAGCCACCCAGGCACCCCACTGAGGTTGTTGTTTAAAAGAAATGTTTAGGGGCACCTGTTGGCTATGACTTTTGATTTCAGCTCAGGTCATGACCTCATGGCTCATGGGCCCAAGCCCCACGGCTCATGGGTTCCTTGCTGACAGCATGGAACCTGCTTGTGATCCTCTCTCTGTCCCTCCCCCACTTGTTCTCTCTTTCTCAAAATAAATAAATTAAAAAAAAAAGTATGCTTAAAGCATGATAATTGGCACATGGTAAATGCCTAATAAATGGTAAAAAAATTACTATGGATGTGAAATGTCAATTTAATACATCTCCTTCTAAGTATTGCATTATGATATATGCCCTCTTCAGAGGAGAGAGAGAAAGAAAGAGAGATAGGGTGTGTGTGTGTGCCATCTCTCCATTGAATTGTGAGTGGATATGCACCTGGCCTTCTTGAATTCGATGTATGTTAAGCACAGATATTGTGTGTAGACTCTCATTCAGGACATGCAGAGGATATAATCAAGGTGTCTCTCAAGTTTGGTTGTTTTTTTTTTTTCCTACTTAGAAGAAGAAAGGATTTGCTTTCCATTTACCAAACAGCAGGCCTGCATAATAAGAAAGGATTGATTTTCTCAGCATTCCATTAGCTCTGGGTCTTTAAAGAGAGCATAATGCACTCCAGTGGGGAGATGAATTGCATCATCCGGGAGCTGGAAAGAGACCTAGAGAGGAATCAGGCTGGAATCTTAGCATTCAAAGGGAATAATCCTACTCTCCTCCACATTCACCATATATGTTTTTTTTTTAATTCCCTAAAGTCTGGCAGTTTATACCCACATTTCCGATCCAGACACATGTTTCATAACCAGCTCAGCTGCCGACCCAGTTAAATAATAATGAGTGATTTTTATAAATCTAAACTTTCTCTCATAAGAATCCAGCGGAAGAGGCTGCAGGGTGGTGGTTGGGAGAGAAGTCATCAGTAGTGATGTTGAAACCTCTTTGATTGATGGCGCTAAACACTAGCTGTCTGCAAACCATCAAACCACTGGTGGGAGAAAAAGAATTCAGTGAATCCACTGGTTGTTTTGTCCACCTGCAATCCACACAAGTAAAAGATAGAAATTCAAAGAAGAAAATGTTGCTTTCTCAGAGAATTCAGTGATCTTTTTTTCCCCCGTTGAAGAAAGGTCGCCTACTGGAGGTTGTTATAGGAAATATAGAACAACCAGGGGCTGAGACACTCAGTTGGTTAAGCGTCCAACTCTTGATTTCTGCTCAGGTCATGATCTCAGAGTCGTGAGATCAAGCCACAAATTGGGCTCTGTGCTGGGCATGGGGCCTGCTTGGGATTCTTTCTCTCTTTTACTCTCTGCCCCTCCCCTCCCAAAATAAATAAATAAACATCTAAAAATATATATACTTACCTGGGTGGCTCAGTCGGTTGAGTGTTCGACTTCCACTCCGGTCATGCCGTTCCCGGGTTCGAGCCCCGTGTTGGACTCTGTGCTGTCAGCTCGGAGCCTGGAGCCTGTTTCGGATTCTGTGTCTCCCTCTCTCTCTGCCCCTCCCCTGCTCATGCTCTGTCTGTCTCTCTCTCAAAGATGAATGAACATTTAAAAAAAATTTTTTTTAAAAAGATTCTCTCTCTCTCTCTCTCTCTGCCCCCCCCCCCATGGGTGCATGCGTGCACTTTCTCTCTCTCTCTCTCTCTCTCTCTCTCAAATAAAAAAATAATAATAAAAGAACATTGCCAATGGTAAGATGGCAAAGGTTTAACAACAGACTGGGGGGAGGGGTCCCTGATTTGTAGAAAGCGCTTGTGTCTGTGGTGGAAACACTCTCACCGTAGTCCGTTTCTGTTTCAAGCTACCAACATGATACCACCGAATGCGATGTTGGGAAGAAGAATCCAATAGCACCACATTTTATAGTGTTTCCACCATTCAGATACAATAGAAGTGGTAAACTCAAGAGCACAGAGAATAGTAAAATGTAGTGAAATCATTGGGAAGTGGAGATTTTATTACCTTTGCATTTAATGTATTTATTTGGGTATAAGTTTGCATAATGTAGTTTTTAATTATGGCTGTTTTTAATAGCCAGCTATCAGAATTCCTGAAAATATAACAGTGCATGTGAGCCAAGAGAAGAGGCTCCAACTGAACCCTGACTCTTGTGGCACTTGAAGACAACTCATTTTCCTTAGATATTGGGGATGGGAGGCATATAAACCTCTCTCCAGTCCCGTCCCCATCCCTGACCATTTTCTCACTCATTCATCTTTTGTTTAGTCAATAACCATTTATTGAGCATACACAGGGCACCGGAAATAGTGAAATGACCAAGAGGAGAGCTCAAGATAGAGAATGGAGCTGACTACAGGGGAGAGTAATAACTAACACATGTGACAGAGATAGAAATGGGCAAGCTGACAGTGAGGAAGGAAGGGTGGCCTCTTGGACTGAGATCCAGGGAGGGCTACCGGCCACTCAGCCTTCAGGTTGCCTCACTAAAAGTTTGACCTCCGAGCTCTTTTTGATGCAGTAGATCTTTCCCCCTACAGATACACTGTCTTCCCTCATCTTCCAGGATATCACCCTCTTCTTACCTTGTTAGCTGCTCCTGCTCGGTCCGTTGCTGGCTGCTCTTTACCTCCACAACCTTCTGATGTTGCAGTGTCCCAGATCCCAGTCCTTGGACCTCTTCTCTTTCTTACCTCCCTCATCCAATGGTAAGTTTTCCAGCGTCATGGCTGTAGCTTACCCACCTGCAGTGCTGACCCTTCCTCTGAACTCCAGACTCATTTCTCCACTTGCCCATTTGACAACCCTACTGGACGGCTAGTAGATATCTCACTCTTAACATGCCGAACACCTGACCTTCTGTCCTTTGCAATTTCCTTCTCTTTTATCTTCCCATCCCAGGAAATGGCAACTCCATCCTTCTAGCTATTCAGGAGCTCAAATCTATAGGACATTCTTGCCTCCTCTTTTTCTCTAACACCTCAAATCCAATCTATCGGCAAAGATGATGGATTCTGTCTTCAAAATATCCAAACGGCAACCTTGTCCCGCCACTTTCACGACCTCCACTGCGGACCAAACCATCACCATCTCTCACCTGAGTGTTTCAATACCCTTCTAATGGGCCTCCCTGCTTCCACTTTGTTCACACCCCTTCCTCCCTTCACCTCTATCACTTCTCAACATAGAAGCCAGAGTGGTCCTGTTGAAAAGAAAAGTTTGATCATTTCATTACAGTGCCTGACATATGGCAAACTTTCTACTATTGTTGCATTTAAATTCACAGACAATTTATTCTACTCAGTGATACCATGATTTCTAATACCTGATTTTGTTAGTTCTCAAAGATGAATAACTTGGGCTTAAACGGGATACCCAGGATTACACAGGCAACTGAGTGGGTCTTTAGTCTCAGAGATGCTGGCCTGCAGTACAAACAATGCCTTCAGAAGAGCAATTTTATTTTATGTTTTAAGTTTATTCATCCATTTTGATAGAGAGAGAGAGAGAGAGATTGAACACACAGGAGGGGCAGAGAGAGAAGGAGAGAGAGAATCCCAAACAAGCTTCGCACTGTCAGCGTAGAGCCCGATGTGGGCCTGGACTTCATGAACCACGTGGGGCCGAGTCTAAGTCAAGAGTTGACTGACCCACCCAGTCGCCCCTCCCTATGTTTAATTTTTAAAAATTGAGATGCTATTTACTTACAGTGAGATTGACCACTTTTAGCGTGTACAGTTCTATGAGTTTTGACTAATGTATGCAATCAGGGAACCACCACCACAAATTGATTCATAGAGTTTACATTTTCTCAAGTGAAATAGGGATTTCTGGGTATACCCGTGTTACTAAAAAGCCTATAGTCTAGAATATTTTTGAATAAATGCAGAATTCTTGCTCTCAAATCTCTGACAAACACTGATGAAAATGGTAAAATCACTCTTCCTTTTGGAGGATCCTCTGTGTCTCAATCACTAAGAGGAGTGATTTGTAAATTAGCAAAGTCATTGTTTGGTCAAATGGTTCTATTGAAAATAATTTTACCAGTACTCAGAAATAGTTTGTAGCTTTCCTTCTTAAGAATAATAAATATTTCAGGGGCGCCTGGGTGGCTCGGTCGGTTAAGCGTCCGACTTCAGCTCAGGTCACGATCTCACGGTCCGTGAGTTCGAGCCCCGCGTCGGGCTCTGGGCTGACGGCTCAGAGCCTGGAGCCTGTTTCCGATTCTGTGTCTCCCTCTCTCTCTGCCCCTCCCCCGTTCATGCTCTGTCTCTGTCTCAAAAATAAATAAACGTTAAAAAAAATTAAAAAAAAGAATAATAAATATTTCCCTTGTTTATATATATATTTTTAAATGTTCATTTATTAAATTTTTTTTTACATTTATTTATTTTTGAGAGACAGAGAGAGACAGAGCATGAGCAGGAAGGGGCAGAGAGAGAAGGAGACACAGAATCTGAAGCAGGCTCCAGGCTCCAAGCTGTTAGCACAGAGCGCGATGTGGGGCCTCAACTCACGAGTAGTGAGATCATGACCTGAGTGGAAGTCAGACCCTTAACCAACTGAGCCACCCAGGTGCCCCACCCTTGTATATATATTGCTTTGCATTTTTCCCACTGAGAGTGCAAAAGTCCACCCGTTGGAATACTATGATTGCCTTGTGGTGGGTGAGGTCTTGCACTGTGGGACGGAATCAGTGCAGTCTTAATGCAGGCCAAGGTGCTACCTGCTTGTTTGATTTTCATTTTTTCTTAAACAAGGTAGTTCTTTATGGATGCAGATAATGTACTGAATTAACAATACCAATGGGAAAGGACACAAACAATGATGTTCCACACCACAGCTTAAACAAAACCTGCCCTTTCTTAACTAATCTGGGTTTTTATTTGGACAGTTATTATTATTGTTTTTATTATGCAATGGTTCTCAACCTTGGCTGCATATAATAATCACAGAGGAGCTTTAAAAACAAACAGGGGCACCTGGGTGGCTCAGTCGGTTAATCATCTGACTTCAGCTCAGGTCATGATCTCATCATGGTTTGTGAGTTCAAGCCCCGAGTCGGGCTCTGTGCTGACAGCTCGGAACCTGGAGCCTGCTTTGGATTCGGTGTCTCCCTCTCTCTCTGCCCCTCCCCCACTAATGCTCTGTCTGTCTGTCTCTCTCTCTCTCTCTCTCAAAAATGAATAAACGTTAAAAAAATAAAAATAAATAAACAAATATGATGCAGGGCCCGTCTCAGAACAAGTCTGAAATTAAAATCTGAGTGGCACTCGGGAATCAGAAACAGTTAAGGCTCCCTGGGGATATTCTATTATGCCACCTCAATTGAGAGCCAGAACTGCTACTCTAGCTGGGCACAAAACTTCCTGCGTGGTTTTGAAGGTCTTCCCTCCAAAGGTTGGCCAGAGCTGGGGGTAGCCTACTGGAGGGGGAAGATTCCAGAGCAGAGGTTAAAGGATCTGTATTAGTTCCAGCTAGCAGAGAAAACTGGACTTCTTTGGGCATTTGTTTCAGGACCAGGAGAAGGCGAAGCGAGTGAGGTGCCTCGAGTGCAAAATTTAAGGAGACACTGGATCCTTACTGCACTTGATCCTGAGAATACATGCCTCTTTAAATTTTGCACCCCCAGTACCTTATTTGCCTTACTCTATTCCCTCATCTGCTGGGTTTCTCATCTGTAAACTGATGAGGCGGGCTTGACTACTATCTTTCCCAGTGCTAATATTTTATGTCCCAAACATAAACCTTAGGCCAAGCTAGAAGAAAATGGAAACTTGTGTAATAATCTGGTTTAGTTCAGTCAGTAGCCAAAGCGGAATAATTCAGACCAAAGGTACTCTCTTCTTCTGCAACAGGAGGGCAGATTTTCTTTGTTCTGGTCTTCAGGAAGGTTGTATGAACATTCCTCAGTGCATATTCCTTAATGCTATCAACGGTCCTCAGACCTCTGCTTCTAGCACTTGTCTTTGACTTTTAGCCCAGGCCATCTACAAATTGCTATGTGTTCGCTTGTGCAACCTAAAAAGTGTCAAAATATGTGTGTTAGTTGGGGAGGACTGAGTTAAGTGTCTCCCTGGCTGTGCCCCCTAGGGGTAATATGTATTTTATTTTAAAACTGAAATAACTTGAAAGGAAGGCTTGGGGGGGGGGGGCCGGGAGCATACGAAGTTAGCTCCTCCTGACAAGTGAGAGACAATTGTTAAATTTTCAGGAATTGGGTGATACGGTCATCATTAAAAATTAACTTATTAAGAACTTACAATTAAATAAATTCTATTTAAAAATGGAGGTAACAAATATTCCAAATTCATCATGTACTAATTATTTGACTACATTTTACTACTATCACATTCTTGAGGTTGCTTAGGTCTATTGTACAGAAATATTAAATAATGGAGTATTGCTGAGCACCTCTCCCCAGCTGCACTCGGTGATATCACGCAGTAGCTGGGTATCAGCTGCAATAGGCGTCTTTATACCATGGAAATTGGCAAGTTGTGCAAATCACGGCTTTGTCACTTGGAGATTCAGTTGTTATACATTTGCCAGCACGCCACTGGCTTGGGTTAACTAATGAGTTGAAAAGTATGGTCCTTGGGATGTCCTATTGCCCCTTATAAAGCAGCTACATGTTAGTGGGGAGAGCTGGGCACTGACTAGTTCTGCTAATACTTTTGAGAATACCGTCTCTGTCCTGCAATTTCCCCCCATCTCTGAAGCAGGCAAAAGTGCAATGCTTGCCCCTGTCATCCCATAAGATCACTGTGAAAAGAAAAACTTATTTTAACGGTCTAAAATAGTTCTATAGTTTATGTTTTGTGGTTTCATGAATGGGCTCTAAAAAAGGGAATGCCTCATGCAAACACGAGACATCGTTACAGAGGATCACACAGTCTCAAGAGAACAGTCAACGGATACGAAGGCATATTTCTGTATTTAATTTAGTGTTTGGTTGGATGTGAGGAGAGATAGAATAATGTTCCAATGCCCATCTTTGGAATCTGTGCCCTTTTGGGGGAACTTGATGCACCGGAGCAGTTTTTAAGATGGCACATTTCGGTTACGCTGGGACACTTGAGTGGCTAAATTAACTCATGGCTCAAACTAAGTGCTATTAATAACTCAGAATTTTATGTTAAGATTATTCACTTGTAGGCATCTTTTTTCACAGAAAAATACGTGTGAACAAAACGTAAAAGGATTAATTTAGCATCATATCCCGTGATTTCAATGTGGGGCGAAGTGGTAAGTTGTCACTGTATTTCCTTTGCCAATACTCACACTTGATCTGCAGCTGTGAACTGAGTTCGGGCCAGAGATGGACAATGTCACCCTCACTCTTGCCCCACTGTGACCATTAGACACGATCTTGAGTTGTCTGAACCCAGCTCTGGACTATAGAGCCTTGGGGAAGTATAAGTTTATGGCAAGGAGTCTGAATCCATTTCAAACCTCAAAGCTTTTTTTTTTGTCTTTTCAGTAAAATAATGACTATTTTTCAAATTCATCCAGATTCTGTTCCTATGAGCCAAACACAGTTTCATTTCAAGGCTTTACTGAATCCATAGAGTCTTTGGGTCATCAGGGCTTCCCTATGGTTAAATGGGTTGTCCCCTGGCCCAAAGTGCCTTGTATGAGGGGGCTCATACAAGGGTTGAAAACGAACCCCAATTCCTTTCCATGAGCCATTTGTCTACTTTGGGGCTGAGTCATCCCCAGGTGGCACCATATTTTAACTGATCCATCTAGAAAGACTTCTTTTATCTCAATTTCATAAATGCATGTAAACACCAGCAGGGGCTCTCTGAGCATTATATATGTTCTCTGCCAATAGATAGATATTAATAAACAACTACCAGAATACAGGTGTCCAAGTGTTTTTCCCTCAGAAAAAGAAATCTTTATGCCCCAAAAGGTTGGAAAATCCCGTGTGAGATCTTCAATCTGTTTGCACCCACATTTCTAATTCTTCTGTCAGTTCTGTGTGTGTGTGTGTGTGTGTGTGTGTGTGTGTGTGTGTGAGTGTATGTGTGTGTATGAACGCAGTTGGAAGTTCTCCCCTCAAACAGAGACCAGATTAACTGGAATTTTTTAGTCTCCATTCTTCCCCAGACTCTGGTGAAGATTCTACGAATATCATGGCTGTCATGGACCCATCCACACTCTACCAGCTACCTTTTGCTGCACAAGATGCCCCAAAACTTATGTTAAAACAATAAACATTTATGATTTCTCATGATTCTATGGGTCAGCTAGATCAGCTCAGTTGGGGCTGGATGACCTAGAATGGCCTTACTTACATGTCTGGAGGTTGGCTCCATGACAGCTGGGGCATTGGAGAAACTTGACCATGTATCTTTTGTCATTCAGCAGGCTAGCTTGGGTTTATTCATTTAGCTGTGAGTTTCCCAAGAACACAAGAGAGTTAGCCCTGATGCACAAGCACTTTGACAGCCTCTGCTCGCACCCTGTTTGCTCAAGTCCCATCAACAAAGCAAGTAGCAAGTTCAGCTCAGAGTCTGAGTAGGAGGACACAGCCAACTGGCATTGATAGAAATTGTGGCCACGTTTACAAATTACTGTGCTCACTGATTTTAAAGACATTAAGGAACAAAATTCTACTTCCAGTTTCTACCAGGAAAAAAGAACTGTTTCTTGCCTTGCCTAACATTATAGCTATGTAATTTTAAAGTTTCCAATAGCTACATTACAAGAAGCAAAAAGAAACAGATAAAATGAATTTCCATAATGTATTTTATTTAACCCAATATATCCAACATTGTCATTTCAGCATATAATCAATATAAAGAATTATGAGATATTTTTCTTTTTACTTTTTCATACTCAATTTTCCAAATATGGTGTACATTTCATACTAAGAGTACGTCTGAATTTGGACCAGCTGCATTTCAAGTGCAATAGCTACACAGGGCTTATGTCTACCTCACTAGACAGCACAACTTTAGAACATGGGCTTCATTTCTTTATTTACATGAGAAAACCGAGGCTCAGGGAGGATAAGTAGTTTTCCCAAGGTCACGTGGCTGGCAAGTGGTTGACCCAGGATTCAACCCTAGGTTAGCTGGACACCAAAGGCTTTACTCTCTCTACTGTACCACATTGGCTGCTTCAACAGGCAGGATTTTGGGGGGGGCGGGGGGGGGTGGGGGGAGGAAGCACTGGATCACAGCCTGGCTTTTGAGATGTAAACCATTTCCCTTTTCCTTAGCCCATGGGGTCTAAATCTATCTCTGACTTCCAAGCCTTCCACAGTTTAGCCTTTAGTGGTTCATTCCCACTGTTCTGCATTCATGCCAGTCTCCCTTCCCACCCTGCACACATATTATATTAACCTGGACGTAGTTTACTCCTACACTACCTACCCTTCCGGTGTCAGTTCACCAACTCTTTGAAAGAAGATGGGCTCTTCTTTCTTTCCTGGTGGTGCTATATCTCCAGAAAGGTTGCGAAGGTCCCAGGAATATGAGGTATGTTAATGATTTCTCTTTATCTTCACACCACACATTTTGTACTGTTCTTTCTTGGTAGTGGGAGCTTAATAAGTCGGTGACCCATCTGAGCTGGCATCAGAGGAAGGATCAGGGTGCTCAAAAGAAGGGCCTTGGATGATGGCCTCCAAGGCACCCTCTTTCTGTGAAAGGTAAGGAAGGCAGCTGGCTGACCACGTGACTATGCAGCAGGCACGGGGCAGCCTGGTACGTCAGAGGCCCTCAATAGATGTTTTGTTGGAAGAATGGATCGACTGTTCTTCTAAGTCAGTTTGAGACCAAAAGCAGGGTTGGATTGACAGACTTCTCGCCACACCCACAAAACCGATAAACATAGTATTTTGCAAATATTATATAAATGCTGAGTGTAAATTTGGTAGCAGAATAAAAATGGATATTAACGACTGACAGTTAAAAACTGCTCAGTCTCTGATTGATCTTTTCCAACACTCTATTTTTCTATCCGAACAGAGTATATTTTCCAACATCTTTTATGTTCCTCTGGTGAAAAAAAACCCAGCGATTAAAGAATATTTCACTTCTGATCGTTCCTTTCAAACATTTTCCTGTTCTGTTTGAAGAAAGCATATTTTTCACCTTTTTTTTTTCCCCCAACTCTGGTGAAACGTTGGAGCAGTTTTGGTTCTTGAGTTGTTTTTTTTTTTCCCCCACATAATTAAGCTGATTAGTATCCCATATGGAGTGGAAACAATTGGCTTCACGTATGCTGGTGGATGGTTACCCACAGAGCGGTCACTGTTTACATGCTTCCCATTTCCTTGTTAGATAAAGATCTGGCAGACTTGAACTCTGTGAACATTACAGCCTCTGGTTATCAGACATGCCTGTATCCTGTTTAGTGGTATGAGATGAGATAGGTATTCTATAATTTTGTACAGAAGGAACTTTGAAGATGCTTACCCAGCATCCATTTCCTTTCGCCTGTTTCTGGAGGCCCCCTGATTTGTTCAGGGAGTTTTGTTTGGGTCCATGCAGCCCTGAGGTTTAGGGAAGTTGACTCCACCTCCAGTTGCAGTGCGGGCTTGATTGGTCTGAATAATCTTCCCTCCTTGCCGCAGAAAAAGTCTAGGAATCCAGACCTTAGACAGTTAGTGTGTGACATTCCTCAGGCCAAAGGGATTGGTTCAGGGGTGGGCATCTGACCAAATTCTCGCCAATGAGATGATGCAATAGAAGGTTTGGCAGGAGTTTCAGGGTAAGAGGTCTCACTTTTTTTTTTTTCCATTTTAGAACATGAAATTAATTGAGCACTGTGTCATCATTAAAAGTACTATTTTCAATAGATTTATAATGATGTGGAAAATGATTATGACATAATATTAAATAAAAAGGATTCAAAATTGCTAACACTCGAGAATCTTAACAATTGCAAAAACCCGTTAGAAGAAAAATGCTAAAGGAGTGGTTTTCTGAGTGACTGAGTTACGATTTTCAATCTGTTTGTCTCTATTTTTCAAGTTTTTTACAGTGCACATGTGACATCTATTGTCTAGGGTAAAGAGTGTTTAAGAGGTCTCACTCTTAACAGCCGTGTTACTGAGCGGAGTGGTCCCTCTTCTTTGGACATTGTTATGGCCAGACTGCAAAGCCAGGAGATGCTACGGTCACCTTGCCGTCAGCCTGACCATGCTGCGAACCCACAAAAGAGGGAGGGACCAAGCAGATGATAGAGAGGCAGTTTGGAGGCTGATGGAACCACACTTGATGGCTATTGTACATCTGGACTCTTTTAGTTGCATGAGTCAGTAAATCCCCTTTAAGGTATGAACCAGTTGAAATGGAGTTTCTGTTACTTTTAGCCAAAGGCATCACTACTGATATAGACAATTTTACCAAAGAAATGTGAATCAAAAAATGAGAAGTCAGCTTAACATAAATGTGTGGATGCATATAGGAAACACAATACAAAGCAGGCCTGGATGGAGTATAGTGTCCCCCCTACCCCCACCCCCACTTCTATCTTCCAAATGAAGAAATGAGTTCATAGAGTTTCGACAAAGCTTTGAAGGAACAGAGCCAGAGTTCCTGCTAGGCTTATAAACCCTAGATATTAACAAAAAGCTGTACTTTGACAAGTTCCTTCAGAGAAGCCCTATGGGCAGCTTGATACCAGACCCTACCTTCACCTGATCTTAACAGCCAAGCCCAAAGCCTCCTACTTTTTTGTTCATAAAATATTTGAACAGAAAACAGTTCGGAGTATATCCTGGTTTTCGACCCAAGGTTCTGCCTTGATAACCTTGCCGTTTTTCTTCGAGTGATTTGTTTTTTCTTTCTGAAAAAATGCTTAAGAAGATAAGTCCTTCACTTACCTAGACACGAGCATGGCACCCTGATAAAAATAGTGTAGTCAGATTCTGTCTGAACCTCACTTTCTACCCCCAAGCAATTTGTCAAGATATTTTCCTAAATATAGAGAGTTCTCCTGCCAAGAATTCTGCCTGGCAGTTGTCAGGCAATGAAATTGCAATCTCCTGATTACCAATGAATGAACGAATAAATGGTCCTTCCACCAAGAGATGACATCATACTGTATAGATTTACTGCTACTCTTTTTTTTTTTTTTTAAGTTTATTTATCCTGAGGGGTGGGAGGTGGAGAGAGAGAGAGAATCCCAAGCAGGGTTTGCACTAACAGTGCCCCGACTTGGGGCTCAATCCCACTAACTGTGAGATCATGACCTGAACTGACACCAAGAGTCATGCTTAATCGACTGAACACCCCCCCCCCAACCCACCCAGGTGCCCCGACCCTATTGCTACTCTTTTGAAGAATCTATTACAGTCCTGGTCTAGAGTGCTACTACCTTTATCTTTTAAAAGGGCTCTGAACTCTCTGAAGTTCAACACTAGGATGAAATATTTTTAAAACTTTCCCCAATATTTGACAATGGATATTATGTCATTATTTACCTTGCAACTATTATTTTGGCACATTGTAAAGCACCGGTAATATGGCCATTTCAGAGTTACACTTGTCTAGTTATTTAACCCTGAAGTTCCTTTTTAAAGGGAATGGTGTGGACAAATGGGTGCATGAAGCATATTTCAGGGAACAGTGAACTGACCAGTATGACTGGAGCAGAGAATAATGGGGAAGCGTTTTCAAATGTAATGCAGAAAATCTTAAAACCCAAAGTAAAAAGTTTTCTCCCATGGGTGTATGTTTCTAGATGTGGGAGGAATGAGGACTGCAGGCTTTAAGAAGGTGAGTGTGGTTGCAGAGTGCGTGACTCTGAGGTTGGGGCCTATTTCAGATGACATGAAGGGGCCCGTGTGCCACTGGAACAGCATGATGGCAGGAGTGGCAAAAAGAGTGGGAACGATGAACCAGAGTAGAAGATGTTAGGAAGACAGAGAATTGACTTCTCTTGGGGACCAACTGGGTAAGGAAGTCCAGACAGAGAGGACATCAAAAGTGATCCTAAGTTTCAAAGCCTCCATAATGGGTGGATGAAATTACCACTGGAAATGTCAGGAAACGCAGAAAAGAGAGGCAGTATTAGGAGATAAGAAAAAGGAATCTGTTCCCCAAACGACTGAGTTTGGGATGATAGTAGGACAAGAGGTAGTGCTGCCCATTAGGCAGTTGGAAAGATATAACTAGAGCTGGTCAGGGCTGGAAATAAGATCTGGGAGCTGTTGCCTCCTCAATTCCTCTTTTCTTCTGAGTAGAATCCCACCTGTGTTTGGGTTGCAGTGGCTCAGACAGGGTGGATAAATCATGACTGGCCAAGGTCCAAACATGATAATTTATTTCCCTTTGGTTGGTCAAGGGGTGAACATGTGATCCAATTCTGGCCAATGGCCAAGGGACTTCTGGAAGGATTTTCTTCCTGATAAAACAGACCTCCATGAGGAGAAGGCCGTTTGGCTTTCATTTCTTTCCTTCCTGCTTGCGACCCTGTCAGGAGAGAATGGGATTGTTGGAGAGATGTGGCTTGACGTGTTGAGAGATATGGCTGACACATATGTCACAGTGATGGTGACAAAGCGGAAAGAGAGTAAGAACCTTTGGTCAGTCACTGGTGTCCTTGTTGATCTGCTGAACCAAGTCTGGAATTGCCTACCTCCAGACTTCTTGTTACACACAAGTTTATTAAATGTCTTTGTTACTTATGTTATTATTAGTTGGTATTTTATTACTTTCCCCTGAACATATCTTAACTAAAACAGATGTAATTACTAATGCCTGTGAGAACTGACATAATCTGAGAGGGAGGGAGTAAGAGAAAGACAGAACCTGGAGATATACCCATATTAGGAGATGGGAGCTTTTCACTAATCAAACCTTAAGATTTTTAATAAAAAAGGTACATAGGAAATTTGTTTTTAATTATGAAAACATACCACACACAAACATACACTCCTACAATCTCCTTCCTCCAACCACACATTCCAGAGAGCATATGTTCCAAATGAAAGGTCAAAAAGGAGATGGGTTTCAGTTTGGAGCTATAGGAGGGCAATTATTTCTCTAATGTGGTTTGCTTCCTGTTGCTAAAACTGAGTCCCTTCAAATGAGATTGTTTGCTAAGTGAGGCATCTCCTTCCTCTTCCACCCTTGGATGAATTAGGGAGCAAGAGGAATCAGTCAAGTTTCCTCACTGTGATGGGCCGAGGAGCTCTGTGTATTCCCTGTGGATAGTGGCCTGCCACTGGAGAGGCCACAGGCTGGAGCAAGGAGCTGACTCATAGGGTAAGGAGAAAATGGCCTGGATCTTTCACAGAGGTAAGCAGTGTCCAATTGCACTGGGGGGAGGAGGGAGAGGTTATGACAAAGAAAGCCGTATCTATTCCACTGAGCAATTAATGCCATTATTTTTCTTCAAAAAGCATTTTCTCTTAAACCATCGAGGATAATTTAGCCTCCATCTTGACAGAATGTACTAATGACTGCTAATGGATACATTCTTTTAATAAATGAAGAGGCACAAGAAAATTGCCTGATATTAAACAGAGTCCCACATGTCTTATCGGAGTCTATAATGGCCCTATCAAGTGACCTAAATGAAAGAAATGTGACTCTTCAGGGGTTAAAGGAGTCTATTTTTTCTTAGTGCAATATAAATTCGCTGCTAGGGAGAACAGTAATTCATTGGTCTATCCTAAGAAATGTTTAAAAGGGGGGCCATATCTCAAGTTAAATGATGCATTTCCTATTGGTAGTGAAGAAAATATGAAATAGAACCTCTGTGCAGTGTGGATACATATAAATAGCCTCTTATCTGGCAATAGAGCCCAAAACTCTTTTGGGTCTTTGATCCTTGGAATTTTTAGCCCAGAAGTTGAAGAGCCTGGTAATTTGTTATTAATTTTGTCCAATTTTTTTCAATACCTTCCAGGGTGCTTTTTGTTGGTTGGTATGATTTGGTAATTTTAAACTCTATTCTTGGAAATGTTTCTCCAGATTCAAGTAATTCCTAGTACTCTACCTTCAGTGGGACACTTCTAAAAATGAATAAAGAATTCCAACAAATCAATAAGAAAAAGACAAACAACCCAAAAGAAAAATGGATACAAGAAATGAACCAGAAAATCAAAGAAGAAGAAATGGCCAATAATGATACGAAAAGATGAATGATCTGTATTATAGTCTTTTGCAACTTGCTGTTTGCAATACAACACTATGACTCTAAGCTTTTCATCCACCCGTGGTATTGTGTGTGGCAATATTCATTTTCACTAGTGTGACAGTATTTCATTGGGTGAGTATTCCACAATTCTATTCTCCCCAAAATACATGTAGCGTGAATCTATATTTATAATGCTCAAAAACAGCTACAAATCATATATTATATTGCAAAACAATACTTGATAGAACTTTTTTTTTTTTAAAAAGCCAAGTAATGGGGCGCCTGGGTGGCGCAGTCGGTTAAGCGTCCGACTTCAGCCAGGTCACGATCTCGCGGTCCGTGAGTTCGAGCCCCGCGTCAGGCTCTGGGCTGATGGCTCAGAGCCTGGAGCCTGTTTCCGATTCTGTGTCTCCCTCTCTCTCTGCCCCTCCCCCGTTCATGCTCTGTCTCTCTCTGTCCCAAAAATAAATAAACGTTGAAAAAAGCCAAGTAATGATAAAGACAAATTTCAAGATAATGTTTCCTTGGGGAAGGGGGAGATTGACATTGGGGATGAGATGAGAGAATGTATCTGTTATCTATTGCTGCATAAGGAACCACACTGAAGCTTAGTGGCTTAAAACAAAAATCAGTTATTTCTCATAATTCTCTGGGTCAAGACTTCCCACAGGGTTCTTCCACACAGAACCATCTGGCCCTCTCGTGCAACTGCATTCAGCGGGACTGGGCTGGATGGTCAAGATGGCCCCACCCTCAAGGCTGCTATGCCTTGGACCTTTTCTACTTGATTTCTCTCACCATGTGGTGTCTCATCCTCCAGGGCCTCTTTTTCCATGTGGCCTTTCCCTCCAGCAGGGTAGACTGGATGTTCTTTACAAGGAGAAAACACCCACACAGTACTTATGTAATTAAAACTTAATTACAATTAAAATATATTACCTAATTAAAGAGTGCTCTGTGGCCAGATTGTTTTTGGAAATGCTGCATACAGCATCCCCTGTTAGAGCTTCATAATGCAAAAAATAAAAAAATAAAAAAAAAAAATAAAGCTTGCTAAAGGCTTTGAGAAGTCTCCCAAGGAGCAAAGAAGAAAAGACCTGCTTTGGTGAAAGGAGCTGGTAAGAGAAGGCAGAAGCGCTCCGCCTTCTCTGTCCTCAGGGATATAGGAAGGGAGTACTGAGGTAGAGAAAGCTCAAAGGCTGGGGCTCATCATCTGAACTCTGCTACTCCTGCTCCTTCAAAGCGCAGTGTAACTGAGGGAGGCTCTGACAGCCTCACACATGAGGCCGGAAGTGGCCTGGAGGCCAGAGAATCAACAGTGCTGCTCCTGGAATTAGGTCACCTAGGTCCCAGTCCCTCCCCGCTGCCCTGCCCTGCTCTTGAATTAGCTCATTTTCCTGACTCCTATCTCTAATTTGCTTTAACCCCTCTGACCTGCTTTTAATGTTTATTTATTTTTGAGAGAGAGAGAGAGAGAGGGACAGAGCACAAGCAGGGGAGGGGCAGAGAGAAAGAGAGGGAGACACAGAATCCGAAGCAGGCTCCAGGCTCCGAGCGGTCAGCAAAGAGCCTAACGCAGGGCTCGAACTCACGAACTGTGAGATCATGACCTGAGCCGAAGCCGGACGTTCACCGACTGAGCCACCCAGGCATTCCACCTCTGACCTGCTTTGATCAGTTATCCTCTTTGTATTTGTGGATCTTCAGTTTGTCTCTTCTGCCTGGTGGCCTTACGCTCGTAGGACTTGCTTCTCTCTCTTCCTTTCCTTTTATTTAATGTGAAAGTTAATCCATGACAATTTTAACAAACTCAAATAATACCCCCAAGACAAAAGCCTCCCCTTGTCTGTTCCCATCCCACTATTCCACTGTCAACTAAGTTTCCTTCCAGAGGAGTCTCTGTTTATGTAAACACACATATGCGTCCATGTGTGTGTATTTGAACAAAATGGTATGAATATGTTGATATACTTCCATGATCTCCCTTTCCACTTACTATTATAATGTGTACATATAGTCTTTGCAAGTTGGTGCATAAAGACTGATATAATAGCTGCCGTACTCCAAAGTGCATAGGTTCCTTTACTGATTTAGCCGTTTCCCTCTTGATCAACATTTATGTTGCTCCTTTTTTTTCTGCCATTGTAACCAGTGTGGCAGTGATCACCCTTGTATGTGAATTTTTGCACATTCAAGCGAACGTATGAGAAACTCCAGAAAAGGCAGTGCTGGCTGGATCTTAGGGCATGCCTGGCCTTCCTTGTCTCATTGCCCTTTTGACCCTGATGTCCTAGAGACCTCTGCTGTCACCCACCTGTGTGCCTGGACCACTCTACAGCTCACCCATTCCAGGACCTGTCTTCCCTGCCCTTCCTTGGGGAGCTAATCCCTTATCACCTGCTCTCTGGAGCTCTGCCCTGGCTACCTAAGTTGATCTCATCGGTTGACAACTGTGCCTCGGTTACTGCACTTGCCACGTTGTGTTACCATGATTTTTCTACTTGTCTAATTTCCCCACTAGACCAGAAATTTCCAAATGCATCATCAGTGTCTGACACAGGGCTTGGCACTCACTAAACGAACGCATGAATTCATTAGTCAATTTAACTGAGCTCCCACTGTGTGGCAAACAGCTATGAACAAATCCAAACTCCCTGTTCTTGAGTGGAGACATGATAAAGAAATAATTGTAAATAATTGGTCAGCTGACAATAAGTGCTGTAAAGAAAGGTAAGGAAGAGTCTGGCGCTGGAGAAGGCTATGATTCACGGGTGGATGACATTTGAGCAGAGACCTAAATGAGGTGAAGGACTGAGCCTGCTGATTGTCTGGGAAGAACATTCTAGCAGTGGATGTATGAGTCACCGAATGGAGGCCAGGTAGGGGATTCCTCACTCCCTGGTATGACAGGAGGATATCCCGAAGCCGAAAGGATCAAAACAAAGTTAACTCAATTATGGAACCCAACATGAATGTCCCAGCTTGGGTTCCCAGGAAGGAGCCTTTGAGATGATTAGTATGTAGGAGGTTTATGAGGGAGAAAGGAAGGAGCCTGGAGGGAAAGAAAGCAAGACTGGACAGAGGGAAAAGCTGAGCTATGATGCTTTTCTCAGAGATGGTGTCCATCAACTCTTGGGAGTTCTGAAGCCAGATGGCCCTTCAGGGTGGTTCCTAATTGGGCTGGACCTTTTTGCCTCGCCTCAGTCATTAGGTATCAGCCGCCACAGGAAGGGGTACAACCTTGGGCACGGTGGTGCTTTTAGCCATCACTGTCCCCAAAGAGGGTCACAACCGAAGGGCTGTCTCCCAGCAGCACTCCCAGCAGCTGAGAGGGTGAGTCCTTGGTTTCTGTAGGCCGTGCTGGGTGGGGCAGCACAGTGCTCATCACAGGTGAGACAGGTGGGCTTTGGAAAGAAGAAAAGTTGGGGCGCCTGGGTGGCTCAGTCGGCTGAGCGTCCGACTTTGGCTCAGGTCATGATCTCGCGGTCTGTGAGTTCAAGCCCTGCGTTGGGCGCTGTGCGGACAGCTCAGAGCCTGGAGCCTGCTTTGGATTCTGTGTCTCCTTCTCTCCCTGCCTCTCCCCTACTCATGCTCTCTCTCTCTCTCTGTCAAAAATAAACATTTAAAAAAATTTAAAAAAAAAGATTCTCTCTCCTCTCTGCGCCCCACCCCCCCCCCCAGGTGCTATAAAAAATAAAAATAAACCAAAAAAAGAAGAAAAGTTGATTTCCTGGGCCTGTTTGCTTGCAGGGTCCTTTACCTTCCCCAGCTCTGCTCAAGGGTGTTGACACCTGCAGGCTGCATTTCTCAAGCGTCCTTTGGAGCCTCTCAAGCTCCCTGTTAGCTGTTTCTGGCCAGGCCAGTAGGAGCTATGGATCAGACATTATAAGGAAGAGGAAGGGGGAGGGCAGGTGTTTCTTTTCTCCCTTTCTGCCCTGGGCAGGTTCTCCATTGGCAGCCTTGTCTCCCGGCTCTACCTCTCCTGTTCAGGCCCAGTGTGTTTCCTGCCTCCACCAGGGAACCTGAGCCCCTGGGCTCCAGTGGAAGTACGGTGGCAAACACAAAATGCTCAAATCTCCTTCAAGGAAGGACTTGCTGCCCAATGGCAGGGCACGCAGCCAGCCTCCAGCTGTCAGCTACCGCAGGGTCAGCCTTGCTGGAGGTCGTGCCTTTCCAAACCACCCACATCTGGTGACCGAGGGAGTGCGGTATTAAATGCCTCACCGTGTTGGCTTGATGCGGGATGCTCTGGTGAGCAACCCTCCAGACTTGGCTGAGGTTTAGTTCAGGCTGCACCCCACTGCACCTTCTTCCCCTGACATCCTGCTGCTGCTTCTCCCCCTTCCCAGGGGTTGACCCTTAGTAAGTGTCTTACACCCCAAACTATGCTTAAGTCTGCTTTTGGAGAACCCAGCCTCCAATACCACTTCTTTCCCTCCGTCCTTCCTGCCTTGAAGCCTACTGGCTTCCTGTGGTGCTAATCTCTGGGTGGCTGTTTGGACACTTAGATTTTTCCACTGCCTGTGTAACCAATTCACTGCATTACACCCTGATCTGCTTAGATACAAACTGAATTCAGTTTTTCTGGTTAGACTCTGCCTGTTATACTGGGTTTCGCATGCAAATTTAAGTTTATACTCTGGCCTCCTCTTTTTTTTTTTTTTTTTTTTCAACGTTTATTTATTTTTGGGACAGAGAGAGACAGAGCATGAACGAGGGAGGGGCAGAGAGAGAGGGAGACACAGAATCGGAAACAGGCTCCAGGCTCTGAGCCATCAGCCCAGAGCCCGACACGGGGCTTGAACTCACGGACCGCGAGATCGTGACCTGGCTGAAGTCGGACACTTAACCGACTGCGCCACCCAGGCGCCCCATCTGGCCTCCTCTTTTAAGCAATTGTGTTTCAAAGGGCCCCTGACTTAAACAAAAATATTAAAAATACAGTCCTTTCCTTAGCCTCGCGGCCATTTGTCAGTCGGAGACTTGTGACATTGGACCGTTTGAAAGAAACGACAGAGCCAACCGTGGAGGTGTAGCATAAGCAGGTGAAACCAGCCAGCAGCAGGTGGACCATAACCCACACGGTACCCAGACCTGGTGGCCCAGTGCTGCTCCTCCCAGCCACCTGTTCTCAGCTGTCACCTGTGGCTCCAGCTGTGTTTGCACATACAGATCTCCCTCAGCTTGTGAGGGGATTGTGTCCTCATAACCCATCATAAGTTGAAAATACTGTAAATTGAAAATGTAGGGGTGCCTGGGTGGTTCAGTCAGTTAAGCCTCTGACTCTTGATCTCGGCTCAGGTCATGATCTCACAGTTGAGTTGGAGCCCCACATCCGGCACTGCACTGACAGTGGGAGCCTGCTTGGGATTCTGTCTCTCCTTCTCTCTGCCCCTCCTTACTTGTGTGCGTGTGAGTGTACCACCCCCCTCTCTCAAAGTAAATAAAACTAAAAAAAAAAAAAAAAGAAAATGCATCTCATATACCTAACCTCATAGCTTAGCCTAGCCTAATTTGAACATGCTCCGAATGCTTAATTAGCCTATAGTCGGGCAAAATCATCTAACACAAAGCCCATTTGATAATAAAGTGTTGAGTAACCCATGTAATTTATTGAACACCGTACAGAGAGTGAAAAACAGAATGGTTGAAGTAGAGCGATTGTTTACCCTTGTGATCACATGACTGCCCGAGCCCAGACTCATGAGAGAGGATCAGACTCCATAGCACTAGCCCAGAGAAGACCAAAATTCAAAATTCGAAGTGCTGTTTCTATGGTGGTTTTGCACCACCGTGAAGTCGAAAAATCCAAGTCGATCCATTCTAAGTCAGGGATCATCTGTATGGCACCAGCGATCCCTGAGCTGGGTGGACTCTGGCTTCTTTATACTAACGTCTCTCCTCCTCTGCGACTGTCACTGTGTCTGGCTCTGAGGTCGGCTGG